ATGATGATGATGATTATGGTATCTTATAACGAAATTTAAAAATCAATTTTATCATTAATTTAATCAGATGATGCTGATCTGGCAGGCAAAGATAGCATCGACAACAACAACAACAACAACAACAACAACAATAATAATAATAATAAAAACAATAATAATAAAGATAATAACAACAACAACAATAATAATAATAACAATAGCATCAATAACAATCATTTCGATACATTTTCAGCACCTAAAGCTCAATTCTTTAACGTGAACAACGCCAGCAACGAATGTAACAACAACAATAATAATAACATCAATAACAACAACAACAACAACAACAACAACAACAACAATAACATCAATAACAACAAACGAATTAATAATAGTAACAATGACAACAGCAGTAACAGTGATCCAGTAAATAATTACTACTACGAAAGCGTAAATAATAATAACAACAACAATAATAATAGTAATAATAATCTTTTCAAAATGACGTCATTTGAGTTATTTATAGCCCGTATGATATCGATGATATATCTATCGCACATGTGTGATACCTATTTGCCGGAGAATGTTAACGTTGATGACTTGATCATTCCGAAGTGAGATACAAATTTTGATTGGTTGATTGGTTGATTGGATAGCTGGTTAATTGGTTGGTTGATTGGATGGTTGGTTGATTGATTGGTTGGTTGGTTGGATGGTTAGTTGATTGATTGGTTGGTTGGATGGTTGGTTGAATGATGGATCAGTTTGTTGATTTGTTGGTTATTGAATGCTGAATAAGTTATTTTCGTCATCCAAACAGAACATACAACTTCAAAACTATGCCTAGTTCAAACCTCAACACTTTTAATTGCAACGACAAACCAACAACAACAACAACAACGACAACGAACAAGACAACGACAACTATATTATCGTCCATTCCGTCATCACCAATCACAACGCCTCAGACACCATTCGTAACATTCCCTCCTACATACAACCAATCACCGCTCTCCATTCTTATGACCTCATCGTATCAATCAACCAATGAAAAAAGTCGAAAAATTTTCGGTCTTTCCCTATTGGATACGGTTCGTTGTTACGGGCAACCATTTCCCGGGGCCATTTTGAGGTTGATGGCTTGGATTGGAATGGCGGGGAAAAGTTCGGTAGGCGTGTTCAGGAAGTCAGGGGTTAAGAGAAGAATCGAGGGATTAAAAATGAACTTGGATGAGAACGCCGGTGGGTCGGTTTTTCATTTCATTTTGAATTTTAAAAGTAACTTTCTTTTAGAGCGTTTGTCATCTTTGTTTCTGTCAAATTTCATCATCATCACCACCACCATCTTCATCTTCCTCTTCTTCCTCATCATCTTCCTCTTCTTCCTCATCATCTTCCTCTTCTTCCTCATCATCTTCCTCTTCTTCCTCATCATCTTCTTCCTCATCCTCCCCACCAAAGACGCGGTAGACTTCGATGGAGTGGCCATTTACGATTCGGCGGACGTTTTGAAGTTGTACCTGCGCGAGGTTCCTGGCTCCATTCTGACCAGGCAGTACTCCAAACTACTCGTTCTGCTTTTTACTCGTTAGTATCTCATCCATCTATTCATTCGTTCGTTCATTAATTAATTAATTAATTAATTCATTCATTCATTCATTCATTCATTCATTCAGTCAGTCAGTCAGTCACTCACACACTCACTCACTCACTCATTCATTCATTCACTCATTCATTCACTCATTCATTCATCAGATGTTCCGAAACACTTGCACATGAAGTGCCTTCAACACGTCACGTGCCTCCTGCCAGATGAAAACAGGGCGGCTCTGATGATGATGCTGACCTTCCTCAAGGATGTCACCTCAAATTCCGAGGTCAACCAGGTCAGTATAATGATGATGATGATGATCATGACAATGGTGATGATCGTGATTATGATGGGTAAGAAGATGATGAAGCTGAAAATAATTATCATCATTTCGAACGTTACTCACATCTTCATTCCTTCTCCCAGATGAATGCTGATAATTTGGCCGTCTGTTTCACTCCATCCTTCTTCTTACCATCATCCACTTCCGGCTGCAGTGACGTAAGCGGCGTAAACAAATATGGCGACCGGAAGAAGAAAAAAATTATGAAGCGGCTTCTGCAAAGTTCGGCACGAGCGGAGAATTTAAAATCTTTGACATATCAGAATCATTTATCTATGGATAAAAGTTACCAACGACAATATCAACAACACCAACAACAACAACAACATCAACAACAACAGTGTCAACAGCAACAAGAACAACAACCACAACAACATCAACAACAACATCATCAAAACAACAATCGCGCAATATTAAGCCAAAGCCTGGACAATAATCTGATTGAAAACAAAATTAAAAATCGAGATAGCAGTTTTCTCCATATTCAATCATTACCAGCACCAACCGTAATGACGTCATCAAAAACAAACAACAACACCAAAGAACTAATTAATGAAAACATGGCCGCCAAAGAATGTTTAAAATGCTTCATTGAGAATAACCAAGAGATATTCAAAGTATGTGTTAATGTTAGTTTCCATGAGATGTGCGTACGTGAGAACATATAGGTGTAAATTCCATAAACACACACACACACACGCACACACACGCACACACACACACACACACATACAAACACACACACATACACACACGCACACACACACACACATACAATCACATGTGGATTTAGGTTGAAGAAAATGTACACAGAGCAACACGTACAATATGTCAGCGGTTCAACTACTACCACAACAACATCAATAATAATAAGGATAATAATAGCAACGGTAATAATAATAGCAACAACAGAATAGCTATTTTAAAAACTTTGTTAGGAGAAGCTGTTGATGGCGCTATCGAGGTAATGATGATGATGACGATGTTGTTGTTGTTGTTGACGATGTTGTTGTTGTTGTTAATGATGTTGTTGTTGTTGACGATGATGATGATGATAACGATGATGAAACTTTCCAAACAACATGCAGGCAGTTGAAAGTGGCTTCCAATCATACCAATTCATCAACATCCTCAATGGCGTTAAAATTTACTACCAACATCCTCTTCTTCCTCCTCCTCATCATCTTAATCCTCTTTCTCCTCCTCATCATCTTCTTCATCATCATCACGGTCCCATTTGGGCGAGCAGTTCAATCATAGCTAGCAATCCAGCTGATCTAATTAACATAATAGCCAACGAAAGAGAAGAATGGGATGACATGCTGACCAGCTGGAACGTTCTGCAAAAGCCCACCCACGTGCCTGAAGTTGTTGCCAATTATGGCCGATATGAGCTGGAAAACCAAGTTGGGTCTACGGCCAACAGCTGGGATGCTCTGGAAAACCCCAGCGCTAAAATTAAATTAGGAGAATTCGATGGTTTTAAAATGAAAACTGATGATGATGATGATGGAGGTTATGAAAGAGAACGCAATGAAGACGGCAATAATGTTCACACTTCAGAGAACCAAAATGCCAACATCAACAACAACAACATCAACAACAACAACATCAACAACATTATCAAGAAGAATTTAACCTTCAGAACTGCAACTTGCGACGTGGTTCACTACTGCACAGCTTACGGACAGAACGATCTGGAGTTTTGCGAACTAAGGTCATTTTAAAATTATAAAAAAACTATAAATATTAAAATTAAAAAGCATTTAATTAATAATATTGGTGAATTAATATACAATCATATATGCTGCAATCCATCTGGAACATTAACGATGAAATGAAAAATGAACGCAGACTCCAGGCCAACTCGTCTGACGACTCCATCTCAATATTAACCAGCACATCCATACATCACCCGCACATCCCTACAGACAGTGACGTCATGTGTCGAGTGACGTTTGATCGATACGTCGCAGTTGCTACGGGCGACGGCCGCTCGACGCTTTTCCGGTTTTGCTGCCTTGACTTCCGGTTAGAGATCATTATCATCATCTCGGCTTTCACAATCATGATCGCTAACTACCATAATATTGAAAATAAAAATTATTATTATTATTATTATTATTATCATCACAGAGGTCACTCACCTGCCTGGTACAGAAAGGTTTTTCCGCACTGGTCAGCCAATAACATTTCGAGAATAAAAAATTACGTCGAGGACCTCAGTTAACATTGACCAACCAACCATTCACGTTCAAGAAACATAAATTAATATATTCAAATCATGTAAATAACGTTTTTAAGCCTCTTGAGTTACAATAATTAACATAAATTGTGTTAATTAATCAGGATTACTATAAATTTCGTCATTTAAACCAACAACATTCATCCCAATATTGAGTTAGAGTTAAGTTAGGCGGAGTTGACGGCCATGTACATCACGATAACGTAAGTTAACTATGCTTAAAGAAAGTTATTTTCATTAAAAAAAATCATATTTAAAAAGTTTACCAACCGTAAGTTTTTTAATCAAGAAAAAGACCATCCATGGCTAGTTTTTATTCAGAAGTAACTAAATAATTGGTCACAAAATCAATAATAATAATAATAAATAATAATAACAATAATAAAAACCATAATAATAATAATATTTATAAAATATTGATTGAAATAATATTAATAACAGTGGCATCAATGTAAGAAAGTTAACGACAAAACTATCAAATCAATTAATAACGATGTATATATACATATACTTATGTATTACTACAATACATATATATATTATATATATCATATTATATAATATATATATATATATATTACTACAGAGAAATATGTGTAATCGTTATATATATTTATATATGCTGTTATTGATTAGGCTACAAAAAATGCTATACATGAATAAATAAAGAAGTATATATATATATATATATATATATATATATATATATATATATATATATATATATATACGTATAAGTATTATATACGTGCTAGAAATACATGAATCTTTGTAGGTGATTGAATTAAGATTGATCATGTAATGATGAGATGAAAATGTGAAAGTATTAAATCGAAAAATAACGTTATTCAAGTAAACAAATTTAGTAGTAGTAGTAGTAGCAGCAGCAACATAGTAGTAGTAGCAACATAGTAGTAGTAGCAACATAGTAGTAGTAGTAGTAGTAGTAGTAGCAGGGGTTAGAAAAGTAGATAAAATGTGATTTAAATAAAAAAAATGAAATAAAAGTTATCGCATTTATTACGAAGATAACATAAATACATTATTTATTAATTATTATCATTGTGTAAATTATGATAATAATATAAATAGGGACTGTCAGTATAGGATGTCATCGCTCTTTCCGACACAATCCGACCTTGAAAGCCGCCAACGGTTGCGATGCTTCAAAATGTCACGAATATTCATTTTAAAAAATGGGGGTAAGTTGCGCTTAAGTGCGCTTTTAATCTGTAAAAAGACGTGCGTGACGTCACGGAAAAAAGTGAAAAATTGAACTCCTTTGACCCTCAATGAACCTTTTTTCCATGGAATTACGTTAAAATTTTTATTAATTAACTATAGAAATTAAACAATTGCAGAGGTGCCACATGAGATTTCACCCCACTCACTCGTCCCATCCACTTCGTCACTAAATGCTGCATTTTATTGACCCCCCACTCCCCTCCTCAAAGCGTGGCGTCATTTATGGACAGCCCCTAAATAAACATAACAGGTAAGTAGGTAATGAAAAGAACGAAAAAAATCGAAGAGAATCGTTTACAATATATACAGATTAGTCTGAGTTCTAATTCGAGAATTAACGAATGAATGAATGAATGAATGATGAATAAATAAATCAATGAACAAAGGAACGACGGAATGAATGGCTGATTGAGTGTAGAAATGAATGAATGTATAACTTAATGATTGAACAAAATCATCAAACAAATGCCTTCAGAGACAGGTTCAAGACAAATATACACAAAATAATAATAATAATATGAGCAAGAATACTAGCAGCAATAATAATAATAAAAATAATAAACGCAACACGGAAAACATTAATAAAATAATAGCCAAACTCCACGAATCACAGGAGTGGTGGGTAAAAAACTTAGGAGCAGTAATGAATAAGAGAAGAGGAGGTCCAGAAATAGTGATGTGCTGCGATCATACTAAATTACATTGCCTTCGTTTGGTCCGTAACTATATATATACACAAACACACACACACAGACACTAACAAACCTACAGACAGACACACACACATATACACAAGTATAAATCGAATATTGTTTGAATGGCGACGAACTCACAACTGTATGAATTCAGCACAATCCTACTCTAATGTTACGTGTTAAGTACATAATTAAATAAGCGATCTCATCTTTTCTGATTTCTACAAATGACCTATCTGGAAAGTCTAACTAATATATATATATAATATAAATATATAATAATATATATTATTATTATAATATAATATATATATTAAAATATATATTAAAATATATATTATAATATATATATATATATATATATATATATATATATATATATATAGTTCAAGTTACCTAGTATAGCATCGAAGAAGGAATGAATCAATAGTCATTGTGTTGTACAAGCTAAACACGAAATTATCATATATATATATATATATATATATATATATATATACATACACACATATATATATATTTATCCATATATATATATATATTTATCCATATATATGTTCATATCTGTATGAATAAACATTTACATGACGTTTTGAATGTAAATATTGCATGGCTAAAAATGCATATAATTAAACCTTATATACGCATATAATTATACACACACACACACACAAACACTTACACACTAATATGTATATGTATGTATGCATGTATGTATGTATGTATGTATACATGTATGTATGTATGTATGTATGTATGTATACAACAACGAAAAATCATGTTTATAAGACTGGTTAAAATAAAAACAGTTAAGTTTCAAGATTATAATTAGAGTTTAATAACAGCGTGTCAATAATTTAAATTATTAATAATAAGTAAAACAATAAGAACAAAAATAATAATAACAATAATAACAGCAATAATAATAATAACAACAACAACAATAAAAATAATAAATTAACTCATGTGGTTATATAAATATAAAATGAACACATAAGCAAAAGAATTTTTGCTTGAATGTATGTATGTGAGTATGTGCGAGTCCATGGTTCGTGTGTGTGTGTGTATGTATGTATGTATGTGTGTATACATGCATGTATGTGTGTGTGTATGTTTGCTGAATGAAAATTACATTGATAAAAAACATCAAAGTATGTTTAACATGCTTAACACTATTTATGAGAATAGAGTATGGAGTAAAACCAATAATAATATTAATATATTATTATAATATTATATTATTATTATATTATTATTATTAGCTCTAGTGAAATTAACGATATTAGACTAGGTTAATAATTGGAAAGAATAATGAAGAGCGACCTTGCAATAATTTATGAAGGAACGATGATGAATAAATTAATTAATTAACCAATGAATAAACTAGGAATACGTATCTATCTATCTATCTATCTATCTATCTATCTATCTATCTATCTATCTATCTATCTATCTATCTATCTATCTATCTATCTATCTATCTATCTATCTATCTATCTATCTATCTATCTATCTATCCATCTATCTATCGATCAATCAATCAATCAACCAACCAATCAATCAATATGCCCTTCAATTAAACAATTCAAAGACATTTTAATCATTCATTTATCCATCCATCCATCCACCCGTCCATTCACCCATTAATTCATCCATCCATTCACCATCCACCATCTGTTCATTTTGCATTAATGGATGCTTTGTTAGCTGCTGATGAAGTTGACGCCGGCGCTGATGACGACGACGACGGTGGTGGTTGTGGTGGTGGAATAGTTGCGTTGTTTATACATAGGTTATTATTATTACTACTACTACTATTGCCATTAGCGTTACTGCTATTGGTCGAGTTGCTCTCTTTGTCCGCCTTCAATCTCTCATTTGAAAAGATTTTCCTCTTCCTTAGGTGATGTTGTGATGATGATGATGGTGGTGGTGGGTTTCTGCTGCTGCTGCTGGCATTGGAGATCGTCAGATTCGTAACTAACTCGTCCAAAGTTTTCCACAACTCCTCTCTCGCCTCATGTTTCTGCTTATTTCTGCAAGGAGACAATCGATCGATCAATCAATCAATCAATCGATCAATCAATCAGTCAACCAATTAATCAATCAATTAATAGCTTCCAGCTAGAGCAACAACTATCAACTAACAAATTAACTCTCTGAAGATAGGAACTAGTAAGTTGATCAAAGAGCTGCCTATTCATGTCGACCATAGATTTCAAAATATTGTAAACCAAAGTCATTATCATCTGGTTCCAGTGTTCTAATTTATATAGCGCATTGAAGGTCAGGGGCATTATTTCCGCTATGTTCTCTTCGATCAGACCGAGGATGTACTCATTGTTCCAATAATATAAGGAACGCTCTGCAATCTAGAGATGAAGGTGAGAGTGATGATGATGGTGATGAGAGTTATGATGATGATGAGAGTGATGATGATGATGATGGTGACGATGAGAGTGATGATGACGATGATGATGACGATGGTGATGATTAGATGAGAGATATCTATGAAGATGATGACAGGATTGTTAAGGCTGCTGATGAAAAGGAATGCCTCAACAACGGCAAGTAATGACGACCTGGCCATGCTGCTGAAGATGATGACTATGATCGTCGTCATCACTATCATCGTCATCATCTCCATCATCATCATCATCATCATCATCATTACCTGGAAGTGAGAACTGGACATGCATTTGGAGAGTTGTTTGAAAAGAGGAGTGACAACCTTCTTGAACTCACTCGGGTCGATAACATCTAATATCTCCTCCATCTCCCCCAAGAACATCACCTTGGTGTTGTTGTTGTTGATTATGTTGTTGTTGATTATGTTGTTGTTGTTATGTTGTTGTTGTGCTGATGATGATGTTGTTGTTGATGTTGATATATTTTATGTTAATATTTCTGTATTTGATGACGCTTATTGATGAGGGTGCAGTATAACTAGCATATTATCGCCACCAGTAACACCATCATCATCATCATCATCATCATCGTCGTCATAACCAACTTCTTTTTGACTTGATGTCTTTGGCCAGTATTTTAGTAACTCATGAATAACCTAAGTGCATATCAATGAATTTGAATGAAAGGATGAATGACTGAGTAAATGAATGTGAATATGAATGAATGAATGAATGAATAAAAGAACGAATGAAAGAACGAATGAATGAAAAAATATGAATAAATAAAACCCACAGGTCCCGTTAATGTTGAATCCTTTTCAATGAACTGAACCACACAGTAGGTTAACTGAAGCAGTTGTATCAATTGATTGCATTAATAACAACACACACGCACACACACACACGCGCGCGCATACACGCACACACGCACACGTACACACGCACATACTTGGACGTGGTATATATTAAGGGTTCTGGCTTTGTGTAATGGCATTAAGACTTTCAACAAGAAATGCTTATGCTCCGATTTTAATGGCAGCGCAAACCCATTTATTATGCTGTATGTGTAAATAAATATATATATACATTTATAATAACTATAATTATAATTAATAATTATAAATAATAATAATGAGGAGAAGAGGAATTAACCTTCCAAGAATTTCTAATAGCTCCCCGACTCCGTTGAAACTCTCCTGCTCATATGTGAACCTAAGAGGAATGAGTGAAAAAAAAAATAAATTAACTCGTTTTTTAATCAATCAATCAATCATTCAATCAACTAATTATTCAATCAATCAGTCAACCTTAAAAATATATTATTAATGTGCTTCCTTATGAACGCTCTCAAGCCAAGAAACTTTCCATAGATTCTGTGTAGAACTGTCTTCAAGCAATCTCTCTCTCTTGGATCCTCTGTGTCAAATAGCTCTAACAGCTGTCAATCAATCAATCAATTAATCAATCAATTAATCAATCAATTAATCAATCAATAATAGATTGATCGATCAATCAATCAATCAATCAATCATTCAGTCATTCACTCATTTAACAGACACAATAACAAAACATAGAACCATTAGTAATATCATTAATTCTTACTCATTACCTGTAAAACAAATTTCTGGTCAATGAATTTCTTTGCCGTGCTGGGTTGAAAGTCAGATGACTCCAAAAACCTCAAGAAAATCTCGTAAACGAACTATGCATGTGTGTGTATATGCGTGTGTGTGTGTGTGCGGGTGTGTGTGTGAAATTGGATTATGTCAAATTATTTTTAAGATCTAGGAAATAAGAGTTAGTGTAACAGTCTGATATTCCAAAAGAGAGAGAAAAAAGAGAGAGAAAGAGAGAATTAAAGAAAGAGAGGTAAAGTGATAAAGAAAAAGAATTAGTGCAACAGATAGATAAGCAGAGAGGCAGAAAAAAAAGAGAGATCGAGAGAGATATCCAGATGCACCACCATCAAAAAACACTAACTTGTAAATGTGGCCAGGTAAGTTCAAGATTGGGATCATCTTCCTCGGGGTCGAAGTAAGGGTTCTCTTTAGGAGGCAGTGGTCTGAATATATTTACTGCCACCTAAATAGTGGAGAGAAAAATTTTCATTTTTGGAGAATAATTCTTTTCAAATTGTTGCATACAATGTGAGTAGAAGTAAGAGTACAGCCATATAACCCATACCAATAATGTTATCATAATTGCTACTTCAATGAGTAGATGAGCTAATCAATAGATTAATATTATATAATTGAAAAAGATCATAACAACAAAAAGTTATAACCATTTTGACAATTTCCGGATAAACGACGTCAGTTAGGACCCCTCTGTTGCTGTTGATGTACTCAATAAGTTCATTTAGGCAGGCCCTCTTGACCTCCTTGCTCTTGATGTCAGCCAGTGGGTCGTAAAAATCGAATGTTACTGCACACTGTTGTATCTTTTTGATGAATGTAGATGACTGCTCATTCGCTGGAAGATCTGGTGGGTGGGGATGATTTTTGGTAATTAAAATTAGTCTTTGGAGTCAGTGGTTATATGTGAATCAACTCTCTACAATATTTGTTTAAAGAGCATATAATTATAAACATTTTTCATCAATTAAAGATCATATAAATTAAAATTTGGTATAAACAAAATTTTACAAACAAAAAAGCATTTAGATACAAGTGAAAAACAGCCAAATCAGTTCACAATGTAAATTTTAGGCATAGTATTTATTATTTAAATCAGCCTAAACCTAAATGCCATGGAAACAATCAGTAAATAACAAGAGTGGTAAAAAGGAACCTTTAAGAAGTGGCAATGCCTGCAATTCTACATTGTCCTTGTGACCGAAATGTGAAGATCCTCCATTCCTCCGGGCCCGCCTGTGTGCCACCTTGTTGTAAGGGTCGATTTTGTCTACAAACTTTGCCGAACCAGTACTCATCTTATTTGTTTTATCGTGTAAATTTTCAAAATGTGCAATCAAATCAATGTAGTTTTCTTCTTGTTTATTTTATTATTATGCATTTATCTTCTAAAGTAGGTCCTGTCTAATTAATTATTATTGCTAATTAAATTTTGTTTGACAATGAAAACAGGAAGAACAAAACAAACTCTAAACTAAACCAAACTAGCAAATTTTTCAACAGCAAATATTTTTTATTCTATTGTGATTTTTGTTTTGATACCGACATGATTTAAAATCTAATTAAAAATTAATTATATATCTATTATAATTATATATATATTAATATTTTATTTTATATAAGGAAAAATGTCAATAATGATAATCTAATTCAATTCTGGATTATCGATTTAAGAGTCTAATTTTAGAAATAAAAAAAAAATTTCAAACATTTTTTAATTGAAACTTTTAAAAAATAATTCTCTCGCCAAAATGAAAGATATTGTCATTGAAACAAACGAATTTTATTTACAGACAAAAAGAGGCCATTTTTGTTTTACACTACACACAAAATGTTATGCGCTTGATTAAATTAAATATTAAATAATTTTTTTAAAATAAGTTTTTAAAAATATTACAACTTAAATATTTAAAAAAAAAACATTTATTTTATTAATTTTTTATTAAAACTACAATAAAATATAACAACATTTTTAAGTATAAAAAATTTAAATTTAAAATTCAGCCATTTAATAAACATTTAAAAATGAATCGACATATTTTCACCAAAATAAGTTTCGAAATTGATTTTCAAAGTTTCAAGAGCCATTTTTTAATCTAACTACAAAAAGAAAAATTTATTTTACAAAAAATTAAAACGGAAACAAAAATTTACACATAAAAACATTATTATAATTTAGATAAATAAATAATAATAACATTAGGGAGCTGTTGCTTCAAACCAAAGTCTACAAAACTGCAGCAGCCACTATTTCTGCCTATTCTCAGCCCGTTGTAATATTAAAATTAGGAATATGTTGATGATGGCCGCCCGCTGGTCATCATGATAATGATCGTCGTCTCTTTTTAAAAAATGTCCGACCATAATACTGCCATGTATTTTCATGCTGATTTACTTTAAAGTATGCTGTTTCCTTGCTCCGAAGCAGAAGTTTCTTAACCCACTGTTGTTTTTTTTTGTTAGTAGTCCGGCATTTTAGGCTGGCCGTCTGCTCTCGTGTAAAATTTGGAGATACAGCTTGTTTGAATTTATCAATTTTCTTCCTACATTCCTAAGGTAATTAACTACTATTAAATTTTACTAACTTTTAAAATAAACTGTTGGTTAGTAAGATAAAGTAATTTATTGTGAGAATATGTTTCACTTTCATTTATAAATGCACATTGAAATGATTACATAAAAATGAAATTGTGAATTAATAAATTCAGCAAGTTTATATATTAGGTTTTTCCCTGAACCAAGTATATATATATATTTATTTGTAATAATTTTTTCAAGTAGTTTCTCATTAATTGCCAATCCCACCAGGATTGACACTGTGTTTGTGCTATTGTTGTTGTTGCTGCTGCTTTTGAAGTAAAAAACTCACACTCCTGTCTCCACCAAGGTGTCAGTTACTGATTGCTATCTCAACAAAAACAACAAGGAAGACAGCTACATCAACGACATCAAAAGCAGCTTCAACAGCATAATCATCATCATGGTGCATTTTACTGGATCAATGAAATTAACAATAAATGAAGCAGAGAACTTGAGGCCCACGGATTTTGCTCTGAGACATCAGGTCTCTTTTTTTTCTTTAAAATAATTATTTTTTTAAATTATTATTTTTGAAAACTATTCAATACGTAATTATGTCTCAAATAATTTTATTATTATTATCATTTTGACAATGTGTTGTGATACATTATTTTAAAGAAGCAGCCTTTATTACAAGTTGTTTGACGCTTATGTGGTTATTGTATATTTTCTGCATTAATATCTTTTAATTTTATTCATAATTTCATGTTTGTGAATCTTATTAAGTTACTATTTATTTATCATATTCATTGGTAAAATTTTAAAAGGATGCACCATAACAAAACTTTCTCTAATTTAGGTGGTAGGACTAATAGCCAAAGGTCAACAGCAACTTCTGGACCCCTACATCTCGATCGATGTTGATGATACTCTCTTGGGGCGAACGACGACCAAACCAAAGACACTAAAACCAGTATGGAATGAAGATTTTTCAATGGAGGTTCGCAATGGGCAGAACATCTGTTTGACTGTATTTCACGATGCTGCCATACCCCCGGACGAGTTCGTTGCCAACTGCACCATTGCTTTCGAGGACATTGTCGATAAGAAGTCCTCTGATATATGGGTCTGCTGCTCATCATGTTTCATATCATTTTTCTTCTAATTATTGTTATCATTAACTACACCACTACTACATATTAACACACGCGCACACGCATGCACACACGCGCACATTCTTACATGCTGTCAGGTTGACTTGGAACCTACTGGTCGATTGCATGTGATGGTCGAACTCAATGGAACCACTTCTGACGGTTGGTTGGTTGGTTGGTTGGCTGGTTGGCTGGTTGGTTGGTTGATCAGCTATTGATTGATGGATTGACTTTTTGACTTCTTGAATCACTGCCTCATCTGTTATTTTTTGATGATTACAAATACACTTAACCGCCGTCATTCGGATTTTCGTTAACTCTTATTTACCGAAAATATTTGAACTAATCCCTAACCAACGGTTGGGCGTGGCTTACTACAGAATTACCTAAAGAGAGGATCTTTAAAGAGAAAGAGGGACCTATGCACAAGAGAAGAAATGCCCTGAAGCGTCGAGTCCACCAAGTTAATGGTCACAAATTCATGGCTACGTTTTTCAAACAACCGACATTTTGCTCCATTTGTAAGGAGTTTATCTGGTTAGTTGGCGAGATTAGTAATTAGTACTGGGGTGTGATTATGACGATGACGATGATGATGAAGTTGATTATGATGATGACGGGGACGATGGCGAGGAAGACGTTATGATCTTTTTATTATTTACTCTCACCAAGGGGCATCATGTCTCCGCAGGGCTACCAGTGTCAAGGTGAAATCGCTATTTCTATTTTTATCGTCATCATCATCATCTATGTTATTATTATTATTATTATTTATCCTCTTCTTCATCATCATTTCTCTCTTTTTCTCACTTCTTCTCTCTCTCTCTCTCTCTCTCTCTCTCTCTCTCTCTTCATAGTTTGCACGTGCGTAGTACACAAAAGATGTCACCAGAGTGCAGTGACCAAATGCCCTGGACTCAAAGAGACCGTAGCCGACGAGGATACAAGTCTGGTTAGTTAGTGAATTAGTGGATGGATGGATCAAAAGACGGATGAATTGATTGACGGATGGATGAATGGTTGAATGACGAATGAACGACAACTCAACCAGCCATAGTTAGCTAGTTTATAGTTATTAAGAGATTAGTTATTTAGTGGATGGATGCATGAATGTTTGAATGAATGAACGAACGAATGAATGAATGAATAGATGAATGAATAGATGAAGGAATAGATGGATGAATGTTTGAATGAATGAATGACAAATGAATCAATGAACCACCGACCAATAAGGTTTCGGGGCAGCGTTTCAACATAAACGTACCCCATCGTTTCCACGAGCACAACTACAAAAGGTTCACGTTCTGCGATCATTGTGGCTCCATGCTCTATGGGCTGATCAATCAAGGACTCAGATGTCAAGGTCGTTGGATATTTTTAAAGTTAATTCATCCATTAGTTTAGACCTTCATTCATTCACTCGTTCATTTTTTTGCCCATCAAATGATTTTTTAGCGTTTTCTCTCTTTAGTCCATTCGTCTATCAGCCAATGAGTTTTTTTTTCTACCAAGTTTTCCATCCTTCCTTCGATCCGTTCATTCATTCATTTGTTCATTCATCCATCCATCCATCCAGTATGCAAACTGAACGTTCACAAACGTTGTCTGAAGAACGTGCCGAACAACTGCGGCATCAACACGAAGTACATGGCCAAGGTCCTGCAGGAGTTAGGCATCTGTGGGGACAAATTAGGATCCACTACCAAGAGAAAAAAAGTGATGTGCCGTTTTTGAGATGTCGACGATGATGATGATGGCGATGGAGATGATTATTTCAAATAAATTAACGATTTAATTAGCTAATTATAATATTTATAATTTATTTTCCGAACAAACAGTCAGCCATTAGTGACTCACAGAGGACAGCAGGCTAGTAATTAACATTAATCTCCGCATCTGCTTAATGATAAACTATAATTAATAAAAACGCCTCAGCCATCGCTGGGCATATAATTAGCATAATTTTATAGGGTTATTTCAATTTTTTTAGCAATTCATACAATTGGTCTAGTCTGCATATCCCATTGACAGTTATATCTTCTAATTGCATTGGATGCATTGTCAGATTAGAGCTAATTTACATACATGTGCATTCTAGATGACGACGAAGGTCCAGGATCATCATCATCACCGGGCACTCGTTCATCCTCAAATAAGGACATCGACCTTGAACTTATGGGTTATTCCGGGGCCACGTCATCTTCATCGTCATCGATGAATTATGATTCTTCTGCCTGCATGGCGCTACATAAATTCAATCTAATCAAAGTTCTCGGGAAAGGGAGCTTTGGAAAGGTTCGTAGAATCTACTGCATTTCTTCATTTGTCCATCTATTTTTATATCAATCAATCAGCCAATCAATCGATCGATCAAAGATTATTCAACCAAGTTATCAATAAAACACCAACTAGTAAACCATTGGTTAATCAATAAGCCAACCAATCAGTGAGCCAACCAATCACTGAGCCGACCAATAACTGAACAGGTCCTGCTGGCCGAGTTGAAAGGAACAGACGAAGTATACGCCATAAAAGTGTTGAAGAAGGAGGCCATCTTGCAGGAGGACGACGTGGAATGCACGATGACCGAGAAAAGGATCCTCGCCCTGTCAGCCAAGCACCCATTCCTCACATCACTACATTCCTGCTTTCAAACTAAGGTACCTACACAACTGTTTCTCTAATGGCATTGGCCGGTTTGAATTTGTGTTAAATGTGATTGGTCGGTTCGAATTTTCATTATATGTCACGGGCTGGTCTGAATTTTTATTAGTTGTGATTGACTGGTTTGAATTGTAATTAAATGTGATTGGCTGGTTTGCATTTTTTTCATTAGATGTGATTGGCTGCTTTTTCAATCTTTCACGTGATCTCATATTTCGTCGAATGAACGCTACACGAAATTTTCATCCACGTAGGACCGATTATTTTTCGTGATGGAGTACGTGAACGGAGGCGACCTGATGTTCCAGATCCAGAAGACGAGGAAGTTCGACGAAAACAGGGCTCGATTCTATTCGGCCGAAGTGACTCTGGCTCTCATGTTCCTCCATCGTCATGGCATCATTTATAGGTTGGTTGGTCGGTCGGTCGGTTCGTTCTGTCGGTTGGTTCGCTCGCTGGCTGGCTTTTCATGCATGACCGCGATGAAGACCTAAGTCGGATCAGTTCACTTTAATTCATTGGTGGTTTTGGTTCGCCGTGATTGGTTGTTGACTCCGACATCACAATCACCATCATCATCATCAATACTCACTAGGGATCTCAAACTGGACAACATCCTGTTAGACATAGACGGGCACTGCAAGATTGCGGACTTCGGCATGTGCAAGGAGGGCATGAGCCCTGGGAAGACCACCCACACATTTTGCGGAACCCCAGATTATATTGCCCCGGAAGTAGGTGTCGTTGTTATCGTTCTTGATGATGATGCCGTTGTTCTTGATGATGATGATGCCGATACCCGATAGATTCTGCAAGAACTGGATTACGACACCTCAGTCGATTGGTGGGCATTAGGAGTCCTCATGTACGAGATGATGGCCGGTCAGTTCATTAACATAATTTATTCATTTTTTTTACTCTCAATTGCCAAGTTATTAACATAATTTTTGCATTCCTTCAGGTCAACCACCATTTGAGGCTGATAATGAAGAGGATTTATTCGAGTCCATACTTCACGATGATGTTCTCTACCCTGTGTGGCTGTCAAAGGAAGCCGTCTCCATATTGAAAGGAGTTAGGAATGATGGAGTGAATGAAGGAATGAATGAAATGAGTGAATGAAGGGTTAGGGTTAGGGTTATGAATGAATTTATAAACGAATGGGCAGATAAATGAGTGAGTATACCAATAAATGTACTAACTCTCCACCATCCAAACAACAAACAAACGAACGAACGACAACAGCCCCTAACTTACCCACACACTCGTTTATCATTAGTTCATGACGAAAAGTCCGGCAAAGAGGTTGGGGTGTGTGAAGGCCCATGGAGGCGAGCGGGCCGTCCTCATACATTCGTTCTTTCATGATAAAGTTGATTGGGAGGCCCTCGAAGAAAGGAAAATTACCCCTCCCTTCAAGCCCAATATCGTTAGTTCAGCTCTTTTTAAATGCTAGATTTGATTTCTGTGGTGCAGAGTTTGTTGGCTTTCCGAGTGGATTTGCCTCACACCTCTCTTTACATCTCTTCTCTCTCTCTCTCTCTCTCTCTCTCTCTCTCTCTCTCTCTTTCTCTCTCTCACTTACACACGTACACCTCACACGCACGCACACGCACGCACAGAAAACACGAACGGACGTGAGCAACTTCGACAAAGATTTCACCTCGGAGGAGCCAACACTGACGCCCGTCAACCCGGAAATAGTTGAGGCCATCAATCAGGAAGAATTCGCCGGCTTCTCATTCGTCAACGAGGACTATGGCAAGTTTGAATACTGTCCAATCATAAGCAGCGTGGCCGGGTCAAAGAGGTCAGCGGCTGAATGCATCAGCCAATCAAAATCCGCTCCAGAAGGTGCTAGTAGTAACATTAGTGGAGACAATAACAACAACAACAACAATAATAATAATAACAGTAATATTGGTAATAACAATAATAGTAATAATAATAATCCAATTGGTGATGTTGTTGGTGGAGTGGCTGGTCTGGCAGTCCGTGGCGCAGATAGTGGCGAAAAAAATTAATATGATTGTCAGGATGGCTGATTGATTGGTTGGTTAATTTGTTGATTGATTGGTTAGTTGGTTGGTTGGTTGGTTGGCTGGTTGGTTGGTAGGTTGGTTGGTTGGTTGGTGGGTGGGTGAGTGGATTGATTGATTGATTGATTGATTGATTGATTGATTGATTGATTGATTGATTGATTGATTGATTGATTGATTGATTGATTGATTGATTGATTGATTGATTGATCGATCGATTGGTTGATTGACTGATCGATTGGTTGATTGATTGATCGATTGGTTGATTGATTGATCGATCGATCGAATGCTAACTTTTTTAATTAATAGTGTTTAAATACCATCAAAATCTATTATATATAAGAATGTAGAAAATAATTTTTCGTTTATACCATTCTCTGGCGATCGAGTGATGGAGAAGAAAAGTATAAAAATGAATGAATGAATGACTGGATGAATAAACGAACGAATGAATGAACGAATGAATGAACGAATAAATGAATGGAATGAATGAAGAAATGAAGAATTGGATAAACGAACGAATGTTTATATAACAAATAAGAAATCTGTTGAAATTTGTACAAACAATACATATATATCTTATCTCGTTCATTCCTTGAATAATTTTTACTATCACCATCATCCCCACCATCACCTCCACCATCATCGTCGTCGTCGTCATCATCACCACCAACAACAACTGACTAGCGAAGATAATCTGTCTCTTCTTTCTTCACGATAATTTTTTGCTATATAAAGTTGTTATGTATTGTAATATATGAAGGTACCAATACTATATATATATACATATATATTTATATATATATATATATATATATATATATATATATATATATATATATATATATTTATACATATGTGTATATAAATATTGAAAGTATTTTATATTGTTTATTTATTTTAATTTGTTATATTTATAACATTTTGCATCATGTTTTTTTCAGTAATAATCATAATTTATTTTTTAAATATATTAATAATCATAATAAAGATAATAATAATCATAATAAAGATAATAATCATCATCGTCGTCATTATCATTACCATTGCCTGTGTGTGTGTGTGTTTTTTCTATTCATGTCTTTAAATGTTGACGCTAAGAACTGCAGATTTTATAAAAATAGTGATTACCGTGTTGATTGACGTTGTTGTTGATGTTTTTGTTATTGTTGATGTTGTTGTTGTTGATGCTTTTGTTGATGTTGATGTTGTCTTTGTTGATGTTGTTGTTGTCTTTGTTGATGTTGTTGTTGGCTTTGTTGATGTTGTTGTTGCCTTTGTTGTTGTTGCCTTTGTTGTTGTTGTTGTTGATGATGATGTTGTCTTTGTGTTGCTGTTGTTAATTTATGCTGTAACTAATCGTCGAGATATTTAATAATGATGATTGTATAACAATAAACATACAGTCGACAAAATGCTGCAAATTTTTCTCTTAATTAGTTTCCCTGCTTTTATTATTATTACTATTATTATTATTATTGTTGTTGTTGTTGTTTTTGTTACTGCATTTATAAATATTGATCTTTTAATCATTCATATTATTATTTATCGTTATAGATCTGACTAGCTAATATATCCATTCCAACTTACGCTGATATATTGTGCTATATATATAATATAATTATTATGTATATATATATATATATATATATATATATATATATAATATATATGTCATTGCTGTTGATGTTGTTATCATTAATGATATTGTTAACGTAATTTGATATTCTCTCCATTATTATTTTTGTTATTATTATTATTGTTTTTCTTAATATGAATATAATAGTTTTTTTTTCTTCAAATGTAATTAATCTTAACAATTTCATCTCATCCTAAATGTTAATTCATAATAATTATTACTACAAATATAATAATAATAATTATTATCAATATTATATTTATAATAATAGTTATCACTTACTACTACTACTAAGGTTAAATCATTTTATTATTGCATCCTAATTCTATTTATACATATATGCATTATGTATATATGTATACGTAAAATATATATATATATATATATATACGTAATATATATATATATATATATATATATATACGTAATATATATATATATATATATATATATATTGTTTTTTACCGATTGTGTTGTGGTTGTTATACTAATAATAATAATAAATATATACAAACGACTTTAACAAAATTAAAGTTGTTTTTTTTCTGGTTATTTTTCCAGGGGTTTTACAAAATTTTTTGGCATATTAATTATTAAATTATAGCTGACAAACTTTTTTGCATATTAATTTCTAAATTATAGCTATGATGAAGAATAATTATAATTATTATTTTTATTTTTATTATGGCAGATCGTCGTTTTTCAATTTCTTCTTGATGCACTTGAGAATGGCCCGATAAACGACGTCTTCTGGAACTTCGCCGTCCACCTTTTCAAAAAGATTATCGTCGAAAATTAATTATATTTATATTAAGCTAGATAAATTATTGAATTATTTATTCATTTAATGATTAATTTATTAAGATTTTTATTATGGATACTAACAACGCAGAGTTTGTTCTGTTTAGCGTAGTATTCCACACATTTGGCCTGCTTCTCTTTGAAGAATGTTAATTTGCTCTCAATGATTGCTAGAAATTATTATATTTCACTCATTCAATCAATCATTCATTCATTTATTTATTCAATCATTCATTCATTCATTTGCATTATTTAAAGTTATCTTGAAAAAATCATTTGAAATAGCTTATGAGAATTTAAGGGCTGGTCGTTTATATATTTTTATATATTGATGAAAAATGCTAAGTTTAGAAGAGTTGATGTAGACTATGACAAAAAAGACTATGATGTAGACTATGACAAAAAAGTTACGGCCACCGAACCGTCATCATACGAAGTTCCGCCTAGTTCTGCTTTCTGTTTGTAACGAATTTTCATCGTCTGGTCGGAAACTTTCAAATAGATGGCTACCTGGGTATCGATTATCTCCTTCTCAAATTTGTTCACCTGGTTTTGTAAATGTTCTAGAATGGATATTTCTTTCATAATTTTCTCTGATAGTTTTCAGTCAGAAGTCTCATGAAGGGTAACAGCAAACACAGGCTCTAGGTATGTGAATGCGAGTGAATCAGTGCACCACTGACGTGGCACGTGATAGTCGTCCGTATATCTCACATTGTGAAATATAAATTGTGAAAATTAACCCAACCAACGAAACCTGGTCGATGTTTTTCGGAAATCCATGGATGACGAATTTCGTTCCGTTGTTCGATTCATTTATAAGGCGAACTTTTAAAAGATGTATCACTATATTCTGAATGAATGAATAAATAAATAAATAAGAATTATTAATTTTATAAAATTAATACCACTAGTACTACTAAAAATAATCATAATCAATTAATAATTTGAGACATACATCTTATAGAATAAATTAAAGAGCACAAGTCAGGCGAATCTCTCTAATGACCTGGAGTTGAGCTATAGACAAAAAGTCGAGAAAATATCTGATTTTATATAAGGCTTTCCTTCTTTTTTCAGAGCTATAAATATATTGTTACAGACGTGAAGGCGAGAAGAATTGGTACTTAGAAATTTAAGTGAAGCGCTTGATAATTTAATTAAGAGGCGGAGCCAATGAAAACGGTTGTAAAAGTCATGTGATGCACTTACTAGCAAAAAGGCGTGAACGATTGGAAAGTCACGTGACACGGCATCACCAACTATATAAGGAGGGAGAATAGAAAGAGAGAGAGAGAGAGAGAATACAGAGGGAAGTGCACGAAATAACAAGGAGCGACGAGAATTACGAAGAAGTCAGAAGTTTCAAGCAGTCCTATTATCGCAGAGATATTTTGTGTGCGTACTGCAAACAAATTAGCAATAACGCCCAAGGAGAAGTTTGTCACGAAGAATTCAACACGCGGTCTGCGAGTGAATTACGATAATCTTCCGAGAAGTGGATACTTAGGATTTACGGTCAAGAAACATCTGACGAGAAGAGCTTAATTATTGACGATTAGTTATATCCTATGATTTAACTGTTGATTAGTTATTGTTTTGTATTCTAACGATTTTAACGATCGAACGAACGAGTGATCGATTACGGCAATTGCCAGCTCTGTTTTCTTTCTAATAAAGTCATCTAAAATAAGTCTGTTAAGGAATCAAGAATCCACGTAAAGAGAAATAACCATACCCTACAAGTTCAAGGGTTCGGTTATAACAATATCAATTGACGACAGAAAAAAAACTCACTAAATGGTTGAAAATTTAACCAAATCTATCATAATAACGACGATACCTCATCAAATTGCTTATAATTTAATATAATTAATGGCTTTTAAGAAGAAAAACGTGTTAATTAATCGATGATTTAACATAATTAATGATAACTTATAATATGGTCGAAAATTCAACAAAAACCAGTGGAACTAATTCATTCGCATCCATAGATTCTTTGATTTTCAATCTACTTTCAACGTTTTCTTCGCCTTCTTTCAAGAGGATGTCCTTCAGGGAAATTGACAAGAAACCATTTTCTTCGAGTCTTTTCGATATTGTTCTTTTCCCGCTGCCTGGACCGCCTATTTTTGACGACCATTTGTACAATTTCATAAAACTCAAGTTTAATAATCTTAAAAAACATTAAATTTTAAACTGTTAAAAAGCCACACAAACATTTCTAACCGAGGAGGAATATAACTCTCGCATTCTTCAACTCTAATGAAAATTGTATACTTTTTATTAACTTGACAAATTTACAATTATTATCGTCAAAATTGATGAAAAATTCGATTTTACTTAAAAATATCGTTACAACTTAACGGTAATTAGTTTCATTTCATTACTGTGTAAATTTGATACATACCTTTGGCCATCCTATCTTCATTACCTCATCGTCCACTTACTGGCCACCAAACGAATTCCGCGATGTTATTATACTAATTCATGTTTATTTATGTTTCTTTATATTATTAAAAATCACGTCATTAAAGATCAAATGTGTGTTGAAGATAATTCATTGCGCGCAATTCCTTCTTTCAAAATCATCCAACGCCACTATAATGCGTCGAATGGTACACGCTAAATATAGGATGTATTGATTGATTGAGCGTAAGCAATCATTAAAACACTTTCCAAAAGCCTACTTAATTGAGAAGTATAAGATTGAAAAAGAATAAAACAACATAAATCTGGCGGATAAAGCGGAAACTGAGCTGAAACACCGTAAAATTGGATCAAACGAATCATCGTTGCATGCAAGTTTGGGTGATATAACTTCTAAACCTCAATGGTACAGACAGACAGACATACACAGTTTGCAATTTCGATTGAATAACGCGAAAATAATTGCATATAAAACGTTTTTATTACATTTCAAACAATTTTAAAATAATAAAACAAGCTACAAACAACGGAAAATAATCACGAAAAAATATCAGAGTCTGAATAATTTTGACGAAAACGTCGTAAATTTTCGAGTTTAGCGTTAAAATCATCCAACTCCATGCAGCTGCCGATAAAATTTCTCAAACTGTGACGAGGAACTCTTTCGATTGTACTCAAAATTTCATCCAAGTGGCCTCCAACGGCTGAACTGTTCTGCAAAACGGAGGCAACCGGCACTGAATTGACGTAACCATCGTCATCGATGTTATCCGGTCCTAACAAATTAGCGTGAATTAGTGAAGGAGAGAATATATGGGGGAACGGTTCGTCAATGGTCATTGCATTCTTGAACGTTTCAATAGTGCTGGAGTTGTAATTGAACGATCGCATGAGATACTCGTTGAGCAATTCGAACTTGTTAGCGTACCTCGGTAATTTAGAAACATCTAGATTGCGTCCATACATAATTTGATCAGTTAGCCCACTGAAAACAGCGTGCTGTGCTGAAATTTTATAATTCTTACACATCCCTGGGGATAAACTCCTAAACACGGAACTAAAATTGACGTCTGAGTCATGAGTCTTATCGATACCTGGATTGAACATTCTAAACAACGACGAGTTATTTTCCAATGAGAAGGGTAGGGACAACGATAGTGACAATAATTTGTGTGTGTTGAATGTCAGACCAGATAAATAATCTTTAAGACAGACGCTATTTCCGTGAGATCTGTATTTCAGGGACAGCTGATCTAATCCGACGGCCAAGAGTGCGCTTGTATGATAAGGTAAGTTGGGGTTGTAGTTCAAATGCTCATAAGCAACCGACGACGATGAGGCTGATGAGTTGGCCTGCAGTAATGAGTTTTCCGTGGACAGTGGTAGGACAGAAGCAGATGTTAAGAAAGATTCGTAACTGAGAAAAGTGTTAATTAATGATTTCACTGATGTCGTGAAATCTTTTCTGGCACGTCTGGGGAACGTGTTGACGACCAGGCAACCTTTATTTGGAAACTCATCTAGCAAATAATCTTCAAATACTGACACAGAAAACCCACTGAAAGCATTGTAGGTGTCTGCAAGGATGTGAAATCCTTGCAAATTATCACATTCTTCAGTGAAAAAGTGGATTTTATCTTCAATGTCATATTTTTGTTTACAGTAGGCCTCTGATCCTAAACAGAATAAATCAAATGCCTCTGCGTTATCGTGAAATTCAGCGTTTATTATTTCAATCGATTTAGGATGGAGGTGGGGTCTCAAAAAGTCTGACCACACATTTACTTCATTGTCCAGTTTAAATCTATGCTTTCCAAAAATATTTTGACTGGAAGATGGCAAATAACTTTGTTTAGAATCTACTTTTTTCTCTTCATCATCTGTATACTTTCGGCAATGATGTGGCTCAATTTTATTAGAATCATTGTTCTTATCATTCTCCAGGGAGTTGAGAAAATCATTCTTGTGGACTGTGGAAACTTCGTACAAGTTGATGTCGGCCAGCCATGTCGACGATAAGTTGGTGGATTTTTTAAAATCGTACAACGTTCCATCACTCTTCAAAGTGTTCAAACTATTTTTCAAATCGTAAAATATAACTCGAGGTGTGTAGGTGCTTTCGTTCGTTAGGGTCTTCCCCTCCCTAAAAATCGCATCGTAATTCGTGTCGTTGGATTTTAATTTTTTCTGTTTTAAATTGCTGAGAGTTGAAGTTTGAATGTTCCAAAAATGTGTCCCCACAAAATTCGCGTAATGCCCAAATTGTAAAGTTATTATTTCATTTGCAGACGAAGACATGTTTTAGTAACTAACCGAATATCCGTTTTTTGCAGTTTAGTTACTTGTAAATAACTGAATTATCGCTATAACATCAATAAGGTTATGTTGCCATAGAGAATGCAACGTTTTGAAAATCGAATACAACTTTGGTTAAATCCTGTATTTAAATCGATTAAATCACTCATCTATGAAGAATACTGACAAATAACTTTGTAATTAATTATTTTTAAAACATTATTCTTTCATATAATGTAAAAATATTATGTAGACGGTACATTTATTACGTAATACTACTTTTACAACCTTTAAAGTTTCTTTGATAGTTGTACAAAATAAATAGTTTATATGTTTTTCTATGGTGTTCGCCGTAGGTTTGCTTTTAAAACTTTGTTTTCAAACAATTGTTTGTACATTCAATTTGCTAATTTTTGACCCAAATTTTAAATCCATACTCCGGGTTAGTGAAAAAATGGCGAAAGATTCCAGGTACTAACTGCATGTTTTTAACATTTAAACATTTTTCTATTTTCAATATGATCATTTATTGATTTTACTGATTATGATGAGGAAGGCATGGACATGGACAAGTTTATTATGGATTATTAACATTAAAATTTAATGATTACATTAATTACCATATCAATGAACAAATTCTTTAATTTTATTTTTTTTTCAAAATTTTAATTTACAAAATGAGCCAGTTTTGTAGCAAATATGACAAAAATTTGTGTTAGGACAGGCTCTTTCTTATTGCTAGGATTCTTGATTAGTTTGTGTTTTTATTTAAATTTAAAGACCAGATTTGTTTAGTTTCTCTTTAGTTTAGTTTGTTATACTTTATTTATTTATTTATTAGTGTTGTAGATTAGTTAAAATTTAGATATTTTAGGTTAGTGGTTAGTCAATTTAGTGTGACTCTGCAGAAGGTATTTTTTATGTCTTAAACAAATTCTATATATAGTAATATATATGTGAATTTGTATATGACAGGATGTAGTTATGAACATTAGATGATAAGTAATTTTTAATTATAATTAATAATTATGAATATTTTAAAACCAGATCTCGTCGTAGATCACGTTCCAGATCTCGATCGGCGGGCAGGAGCGAGAGACACAACAAATCATCTAGGAGGAAATCCCCAGATAGGAGAAGATCAAAATCACCGACTTACAAAAGGAGCAAAGATAGTAAAAATCACAAAGATAGCAGAAAGTATTTTAACCTTATAACTTAAGTTTTCTTTTTGTTAAAAGTTATTAATATTATTTAAATTATAATTATCTAATTATTCTTTATCTTATTGTTAACTAAAAAAAAACACTAAATCTTGCCATTTAAATTGTTTTCAACAATTTAGGCGCCGACGTTTGAGGAGTCGCAGTAGAGACAGATCTCGGTCACCTATTACCAAAGATTCTAAAAAAAAGTTTTCTCCTGATTTGCATAAAAATGAAAATCAAGATGCTCCCCTGGATAAGGTATTTTTCATTTAGTCATAATTTTGTACTATAATTTTGTTATAATATCATAAAATCGTGAATGAAAATAATTATTTAGTTTGTAATGAACATTTCAGTACTATGGTCATGAAAGTCATGGCTAAGCCATGCTTGTTATTTTCAACCCTTAACATTAATTAATGAATTGTATAAGTCGGAGCAACAAAATTCATTTTCTTTATATAGAGAAAAAATTTTTTAACCAAATTTATCTTCGAAATATTCATCCATTTAAAACTTGCCTACAATGTGAACTTGAATACTCACATCTCCTCGGTTTAATAATTTGTTGATTTTTTTTCTTGAAGGAGGCAGAGCAGGAGAGGTTAGAGAGAGAGATGAAGAAGAGAAGAGAGAGGATTGAACAGTGGAGGGCGGAAAGAAAAAAATTAAATGGAGAGAGTAGTGTAGAAGTGGAGAGTGGCAATAAGGAGGATGTCAATGTAAGTATTTTGTTGTCTCTCTCTGGAATATTTGTTTTTTTTTCTAGGTTGTTGTTGTTGTTTCTGATATTGTTTTTTTTATTTGCTGTTATATTTTATTAAATTATTATTAAATTAAATTATTTAAATTATTTTAAATTGATTTCAGAATTACTTGAAAACAAATAAAATTTTATTACAAAAATTTTTCGTAGGAGACTACCAAAACGTGGACTCTTGAAGATGACGATGAGGATGATGAAATGGCGTCTACTGCTGCTGCAGCGGCTGCTGCTACGACAGATGATACTGCTACGACAGCTGCTGCTACAGTTGTTACATCAGCTGCTGTTGTAGCTGCTGCCGCTGCTGCTTCACAAGACGAAGTGAAGATGGAAGAGGATGAGGAAGAAATAGATCCTTTGGATGCTTATATGATGGTGAGGATGATGATGATGATTGTGATTATGATGTCGAAAATGTTGTCAATTATGTACACACACACACACACACACACACACACACATACACAGGCGGTTGATGAAGAAGTGAAGGAGATAAAAAGAAAGGACGACAAAAAGTTACCGAAACCTCTTAACGAAAAGGTTGCACTTTGTCATTTTCGCTTCTAATCCTATCATTGGAAGGATAATAATGACATTGTTATTAGTTGGATAGTAAAATTGTTGTTGATACTAATGTAGTTTCATCATGCATCCAATGATACAAATAGGTTTTAGCAGCTCCAGCCACAACAACATCAGTGTCAACACCATCCTCTTCTTCATCTTCTTCATCATTAACGACATCAACAACATCGAAAAAGGTTACAATTATAAAAGCTGTAGCCATCAATAAGAAGAGTCAAAATGAGCAGCAGATGCAGCAACCACAACAACCACAAAAATCTTTAGGTAAAGGAGAGCTGATGGAGTCCAATATCGATGCTATGGAGGTTTGTTTGAGGAATCTGCTCAAGTTTATCCACTGTTTAAGAACATTAAGTGCATGTGTACTAGAGTTTAATAATATTAGAGTGTAATAAGTGCAAGCGTACTTTGAGTGTAAGCACATTAAGTGTACAGTGTACTGGTACATAATTATTTTTATTATTTTTATTAATTGTTTTTATTAATTATTTTTATTTTTTGTAGTACTCATCGGAGGAGGAGGCTGAAGATTTGGATGATGCCATGAGCAGGCTGACTAAGAAAAGAAAGGTGAGTCTTATCTGATTGGTTGCTTGTCCTGCCTGATCGGTCGTTCTGATTGGTCGTTCTGATTGGCTGGTTATTTTATGATTGGCTAGTTAGTTTTGCATGTTTTTGGTTATGTTTGTGTTTGTCTAATAATTGATTGACTATGAGTTACGCGAAATAAAAAACGAAATGCGTATTTAAAGCAAACATTGTTACTCAAAAACATGCGCGCATACACACATGCACACACACACATACAAACATACACACATACAAACACACACGCATACAAACATACACACATACAAATACGTAGGAGTTGATAATGTCAGACCACAGCAAGATTTACTACAGACCATTCAGGAAAAATTTCTATGTCGAGGTCCCTGAGATCGCCAAGATGGATCAAGATGGTTGGTACTGGTGATGATGATGACGACGACGACGATGATGGTGACGATGACGATGATGATTGCAATGACGATGATGATTGTAAAGATGATGATGATGATGATGATGATTGCGATGTCAAGAATAATAGTTGAAATAACTTTAAAGAAAAATCATAACTATTTCCATTGTCGCAATCATCATCATCACCATCACAAACACCACCATCATCATCGTCGTCGTCGTCATCATCATCACCATCACAACCACCATCATCACCATCGTCATCATCATCGTTACAGAGGTCGAACGGTACAGATTACAGTTGGAGGATATAACGGTTAGAGGTAAAAATTGTCCAAAACCAATCAAAACCTGGGCCCAGAGTGGAGTTAGCAAGAAGGTTCTCGATTGTTTGAAGAAGTAAGTCGTTTTTTCATTCATTCATTTATTCATTCGTTTACTCATTCATTCGTAACACCATTTGCATTCATTCATTCTATCATTTGCAATTCACTGTCTTCACCGTCTTCAATTTTTTTCATTTTGCATTCTCGCCTTCTGCATTCGCTCGTTCGTTCGTTCATTCATTTACTCCTAATTCATCCGTCATTCACCATTCGCATTCATTCAATCATCGTCCATTCATTCGTTCCTTTCTTCATTGAATAACTGAATACGAATCAACCCACAAACAAACAACACCAATACAGGAACGAACAAACAACACAACACACAAACAAATAACACCAACACAAACAAACACACACACACAATCAATCAAACAAACACCGCTAACAACGCAGAAACAACTTTGAGAAGCCAACTCCAATCCAGTGCCAATCCCTGCCCATCATAATGTCGGGCCGGGATATGATCGGGATCGCCAAAACCGGAAGTGGAAAGACCCTCGCCTTCCTGCTGCCTATGTTCAGGCATATCGCCGACCAGCCAGAGTTGGAATCAGATGACGGACCCATTGGTTAGGAGCGAGTTTGGAGATATCTGTCGGATGCATGTCTTATGATGTTTGATAATTGAGAATGTGATGATGTTAATGTGATGGTGCTGTTTCGTTGGAATATGTCGTTACGGTAATTACGGCGATATTGATAATGACGAAGATGGATAGTGGTTATGATGAGGATGATGATGAGGATTGTAATAGATTACTAAGAAATTGTGATGTATGGTAAAATTAGTAGGGTTCATAAAGACCTATGTGATCATATTCATCACTGTTAACTTCGTCAATTGCATTGCTCTATTTTAACGTGGCACATCTCTAAAATTCCTAATTCCTGACCGACCAGCGATCATCATGACTCCAACGAGAGAGCTGGCCATGCAGATCGGCAAGGAGTGCAGGAAGTTCAGTAAGTCGTTGAATCTCCGCTGTGTCTGCGTCTACGGGGGCACCGGCATTTCAGAACAAATTGCCGAGTTGAAAAGAGGGGCGGAGATTATCGTTTGCACTCCTGGCAGAATGATTGACATGCTGGCGGCCAATAGTGGTTAGTTGCTTGATGCTGGCAACCAATAAGAATTTGTTGTTGTTTGGTGTTTGTTTGTAGCCAATATGAATTTGTTCCTTGATGTTTCTTGGTCGATGAGAGTCGGTTATTTTATGTTATGTTAATGAGGCGATGAACGTGATTGGCTGTTTGATGTTTGTGTTAGGGGAATGAATAATGAATAACTTGCGTGTTCACGTGCGAACTAACCAGGCAAAGTGACGAACTTACGGAGGTGCACGTACATTGTACTGGACGAGGCAGACAGGATGTTTGACATGGGCTTTGAACCTCAAGTTTGTAATTTACTAATCTGTTTGTTCTTGTCTATATTATAAAGTGAAATGTGATTATACTCGCACCCCGGTTACATTTTATTACATTGTAATAGTAGAAAGGTTTTTTGGTTTCATATGAATAATTGCGTTTTGACATTACCATCAGGTCTCTCTAAACTACTAACTAACACGCGCGCACACACACACACACACACGCACACACACACGCACACACAACCCAACTTGCAGGTGATGAAGATAGTGGACAACGTACGTCCAGACAGACTGACCGTCATGTTCAGCGCGACCTTCCCGCGGCAGATGGAAGCCCTGGCCCGCAGGGTCCTCACGAAGCCCATCGAAGTCACCGTCGGAGGTCGGAGTGTCGTCTGCGCCGATGTTGAACAGTTCATCGTTAGTCGGCCATTCTTTTCGACTTGATGTCGATTTTATATTTTTTGCAGTTGGTTTTATGTTGCTGTTGTTATCATTTTGATCATCCTCATCATCATCATCATTCTCATCTTCATCAACATCATCATCAACATCGTCATCATCAACAACAGATAGTTCTGGAAGACACGCAAAAATTTCTGAAACTCCTCGAGATCCTTGGTCTCTACCAGGAGAGAGGCTCGTGCCTGGTGTTCGTCCACAAGCAGGAGCATGCAGACGAACTGATGAAGAACTTGCTGAAGCACGGCTACCCGTGCATGTCGTTGCATGGAGGCATCGATCAATACGATAGGGACAGCACCATGGAAGATTTTAAAGCTGGAAATATCAAACTGCTGGTAAGTTGGTTGGTTGGTTGGCCGGTTGGTTGGTTGGCTGGCTGGTTGGTTGGTTGGTTGGTTGGTTGGTTGGTTGGTTGGCTGGCTGGTTGGCCGGTTGGTTGGTTGATTTGTTAGTTGGTTAGAACTGTTTGAATGTATGGTTTTATTTTATAAACTGTGTCTAATATTTCAATAAATTGCATTTAACAATGCACTTTTCAAAATGAATTGATCACTAATCGAGCCATCGAAACCATTCAATCAATATAACAATTGACCAATCAACCAATCACACAACTAGCCAATCAACTCAGCCAATCACACAACCAACCAATCAACCAATCACAAAACCAACCGACCAATCAGATCGCCACTTCGGTTTGTAGCAGAGGTCTCGATGTAAAGGACCTCGTTCTGGTTGTCAACTATGACTGTCCTAATCATTACGAAGATTACGTGCATCGGTGTGGGTTAGTATCTCTTTCTCTCTCTCTCTCTCTCTCTCTCTCTCTCTCTCTCTCTCTCCTTTTTTTTTATTTTCTACCCTATATATTTATTCATCTGTCTGAATTATCTGTCTAACATTTTCCTTCTTCCATTTTTATCTTTCTTCTCCATCTTTTAAACAGTTACTAATAAACTTAAACCTTTGTCGTCATCATCATCATCACTCCCAGACGCACTGGGCGGGCGGGGAACCACGGGTACGCCTACACGTTCGTCTCACATGACCAGGGCAGACACGCCGGTGACCTCATCAAGGCCCTCGAACTTTCGAAAACCCCCGTCCCCGAAGAGTTGAAGGTCTTGTGGCAAAAGTTCAAGGACGAAATGGAAGCTGTTAGTTTCTGTCTGTTTGTCTTCTCTATTTCTCTTTATATCCATCTGTTTGTCTATATCTCTCTATCTCTCTCTATCTATCTATCTATCTATATATCTATCTCCTTTTTTCTGTATTTGTTCATCTAGTTTTGAATGTGTTTGTATTAATAAAAAAGTGAATGCATGAATGAATAAATGAATGAATGAACGTAACAGGATGGAAAGAAGATATCAAGTTACAGTGGCTTCCACGGCAAGGGCTTCAAATTCGACGAGACAGAAGCCGAACTTGCGAACGACAGGAAGAAGCTGCAGAAGGCCGCTCTAGGACTGCAGGACAGCGATGATGAAGACGCTGGATTGGATGTACGCCTGGTTTTTTTTTTTTGTTTTTCACACATGCGCACATACATAGGCACGTACACACACACACACACACACACACACACACACACACAAACAAACAAATAAACACAGATCGAGCAGAAGATAGAGCGAATGTTTGCAAGCCGAAAGAGGGTTTGTGACGTCAACCAATCACTGACCTCCTTGCCATCGGCCAGCAACATCAACAACGTTCAATCTCAATCCAACCTCGAGAAATTGGAACTTGCTAAGAAGGCTGCCAGTCAGATTAACATACTCAAGAATACAACCGGTTCGTTCGTTTGTATGTCTGTCTGTGTATGCGTATCTTTTTTATGTAGATGTGTTTGTATGTGCGTCTGTCTGTCTTTTTGATGGAGTGAGTGAGTGAATGAGGACTTTCTTTCATGAATATAATGTATCCTGCTGATTAATTTTTTAACATTTTAAAAAACAGCTGAACCCTTGGACGTCAACCAGCAGGCGGCAGCTGCCATTCTGAAGGGAGGCGTGGCCGTCACCCATGTCTCGGTCACTGATTGGATCATTCAAACATTCAAATTTAATTACTCGCTTTTTTGCCTTTGGCTTTCTATGACTCGATTTTTAATTGACCCCTTAATTTTTTTTGGTTTCAATACGTGTTTTATTATTGGATGTTAGAGTCCGCACAGTAAATAATCGCACCTCTCTTACAGCAATTTAGTAACAAAATTATTTTATCCACAAACAGTCAAAAACTATCGCCGAACAAATGGCGGAGAAGATAAACGCCAAATTAGGTTACCGACCGATGACGGAAGAGGAGAAGGAGGCGGAGTTAGGAATCCTACCAGCCAATCAGGTTGCAGAACCAACGAAGAGGTATGAAGAGGAGCTTGAGATCAATGATTTCCCCCAGACGGCCAGATGGAAAGTGACATCTAGAGTAAGAAGTTTTTATTCTATTATATTAATACAAACCCCGACACATTAGAAACACGTGTTTGAAGATTGAAACAACCAAACATTTCAAACGCACATTAAAACACCCACCCATCCACTAAAACACTAACTGAATAACAGGAGGCCCTGTCTCAAATTAGTGAGTTCTCAGACGCTGGTATCACCGTCAGAGGTATCTACATACCCCCAAATAAAGATCCTAAAGAAGGTGAGAGGAAATTGTATTTGGGTATCGAAGCTACGAGTGAGATAGCCGTGCAGAAAGCAAAGGCGGAAATAACCAGGCTCATCAAAGAGGAGCTTGTACGATTGGTTGGTATATTCGTTTCTCCGAAAGATCGGCTATTTTATAATAATTTTACATATACCTACATACGAAGAATAATAATAAGAATAATAACAAAATAATAACAATATATTATTATTTCTCACAGCAAAACTCTTACCAGCCAATCAGCAAAAACCGATACAAAGTTTTATAAGGGCGGCAATGATGATGAAAATGATGGCTGTGTTGACGACGACGACGATGATGATGGTAACTATTGTAATAGCGGTGAGGACTATTATTATCATCATCTACACACAATAATTATATCGATACCACAATGATGGCTCGATTGAACGGATTTCGAACTATTTTATGAAAATGTTTTACTGGCTCTTTATTGATCTTATATTATTATTCATTTTAATTATCAATTTTGTGGTCATTTAAAAAAACAACAAACCTGTTTGAAATTATGTGATTTTTGATATTGCATTACAATAATAATAATATAAATATAATAATTATCATAATTATAGAAATAATATTATTTGTAGAAATACGAGTTTTATAATTACGAAATTGAACTTGTGTCTTCTGTAACAACCTTGATCATAAGTAAACTACCGAAAATTTCTTTCAAAGGTTGAATATTTTTGTTGTATCTACTTACTCTTCACTTATTTAGTTCTTTTTTTTTATTTTGTTGGTCATTTTTTCTAGATAACTAAGTTTTATGGTCAGTTTTCAAGCGTTTTTTCTCAGGTTCATCAATCAATTAGTCTTCCTACTTTTGCCAAATCATCATAAAACTAACATTGAATTGTTGAAAAACAGATCTTTTTTGTTCCATAAGTGTAATAAGTGTAATTTCATCTAATTTTTAATTGGTTTTCTCAATTTTATGACAAAATTTGGTTGCGGTCGATAGGTCACCCATCCAAGTGCCAGTCGCGATCAAGTTCGCTCAACTGACATTTAACAATTAAGATTGAATACAACATGAATCTAGTGAATAACTACAAGCTTAATTCATTATATCAGTGCCACATTTTTAAAATCGAATTCTAGTGCATATTCAGTATAACGTAATGATAACCGATCGGTCGGTTCAGGATACTTACTATATATCCAAAACGTCAGAATTTCCAACACCAAAATATGCAGTTTTTAGCTATCAAAAGTCTTACTTCTTACACCAGTGTTGTAATCTCCTGAAGATCCCACTTCTGACACCAGTGTTGTAATCTCCTGAAGATCACACTTCTGACACCAGTGTTGTGACCTCTTCGACCTCGTACGTAACTACCAACCCCGATGTTATAGCTTCAATACTCGCTATATCTCCAACACTGTGTCGTAGCTTCCAACGATAGCCAAGAGATCGTTTATCCGTAGGTTCAAGATTTCCGATATTTGAACACAACTACATCGAACGCAAACTATAAAAACAGAACCCTAACACCCACCCTCAAGGATTAGGGCTCGGCTATTTCAACTCTATAAAATCCGATTCGTATTTCTGAGTTCAGTTTTTAATTAGTTTTTGTAGAGTTTTACAGTGTTTTACAGACTTCAAGTCCTTCAGAGAATGGCAAACTCTTCAGAAACTATCTTTCAAACTCTTCAGAAACTATTTAAACTCTATAGTTCAGTTTTTAATCGGTTTTTATTGAGTTTTACAGTGTTTTACATACTTCAAGTTCTTCAGACTTCTGCAACTAGGATCTTTCATATTGTTATAACCGACCCCTTGTTTTACTCGTTATAATACATCCTCATCGGAGGTATGAGAGTTCCAACCATTGAAGTATATAATTATATTGAATTATATAATTCCATGGTTTCAACTAATTTTCATAATTCTTCTCAAAAACCACATCTCAGCAGCATTGATCCTTTTTTCCATTTCTTTAGAAATTGTTCACTAATCAGAGCCGTAATGATAGCACCCTAACAGTTTTAATTTGTTGATATTCTGATTTTACTGTTGGTGAGGATGTTTTTCATTTTAGAATGTTTTCCTTCTTTTAATTCTGTTTCATTCGTTCAATTAATTATCCATTCACTCATACATAAATATATACATAATATATATTTATATAAAGTACGTATATGTGTTTGTGTTATATTTATACAAGGTTCAAAAGCTGGTTCTTTGCATGTCAAAATCTAGTACCTCTGTGAACTATACATGCTTTTATATAGCCCTCTGTGTATATTACATTATATATGTGTGTATATATATGTGTGAGAGTGTGTGTATTTTCATATACATAAATCATAATTTCACGAATATAATATATATATATATATATAGGTATATGTATGTATGTAAATATATCAATCATGTAGATAGAATATATGTCATGTATTTTAATAAATTAAGTAAAATAAGTATTATAAAATTAAATGCGTTTTTATAGTAAATGTTTTGTAACTTTCAAGATTTTTTTACCTCTAATTGACCATATTCTTCAAAATTGACATTATGTAAATTTATTATCATTTATGTATCCATGTTTATTATACGTGATGATTTTTTCTTTAAAAAGGTTACGTTTCTTTGTTTTCCTTTTAAGGTGATTAGTTTACATTTAAGGTGACCTACTTGTTTACCAACGTCTGATTGGTTAAAAATTCTATGACCTAGCCTAAATTTAGTTTTTTGCATGCTAATTCAGCCACAAAATCATCCCAAAAAATAGTTTCTGTCAAAGAGTTTTTGGAAAAATTCTAAATTTTTGCAGAAGTATCAAAAGATTTTATTAACATTTTTTGAAAAAACATTCTGAGATCTGCTTTTAACGACCTTGCAAATGCACGGCTCGACCTAATCAGGACAATTAGGCATAATGCAAAACTGTAAACATCATTGTTTACGCAAGATAAGCCATCATACAACAATCGCACGTATATAATAATAATGAAAAATAAACCATATATAAAACGCATGCAATAATAACATAGTTAGTAAGAAGAACTAAGAAGATAAAATAAATAAGCGCTATAGAAACAAAGCCAGGGGTCCAATTTTGTACTTTCTAAAAATAGGTGATTGTTTTAAAAATTAAAAGATTGACATTATTGACTCATTCATTAACTATCTAATTAACTGATCTCACGTCGTTTGTAACTTTTTATTAAATTTTAGTTTATTATTAGATTAGATTAGAAAAGTGGCATTTAAAATTAATAATTAAATTAGTTTACTATTTAACAGTGGTTAAACCTAAAAATAATGCAAGTTGCTAAAGAAGGCTTAATGTTAATCAATCCTATTAATGCTAAATCTAGAAGTTAAAATTTGAAATTTTGTTTCTTCCCTTGGGCCTGTGGTGTTGACTGGTTGCAGAGATTGATGAAGTTGAATTCAAGAAGATTATTACTTAAGCCTTGAAAGGTTAATTATTTTAATTTATTCATTCATTCAGTCAGTCATCATTTATTTATTTATTTGTTCATTCAAAAATCAAACAGATCAGTGTTCAAATCTATTCATATTTCAATGGCAGTCAATTATTCATTCATTCATTCATTCATTCATTCATTCATTCATTCATTCATTCATTCATTCATAAAAACCCTAATAAACAAACAAAAACAATACATCTTTGTTTAGAGTTTCAATTAATTAAAAAGATTAAAACCATTAGGCTTTGATCAGAGATATATATATAATAATATTTATAATATATATATATGATATGTAATCAAAATGACATATAATGGATATTTAGGCCAGTTTTCTATTATAACAATGAACACATGTGCATACATTTGTGTGGCATTTTGTAGATAGATACATATTATATTTCTATTTCTAACAAAGTTACATTCCAACTTAGACTTATGCCACTACTTAGGTTTATGCCTTATAAAAAGTAATTTTTGTGAAATAGTTTTATTTTTTTAAAAGAAAGTAAAGTTTATTAGTTTATTTTGTTTTATAGTTCAGTCTTTTTATTACTGTGATTATTATTATTATCATTATTATTATTATTATTGTTATAATTATATTGATATTTTTTGCAGGCACTTTGAAAAGTCTTCCTTCTACTGATCAAGATGGTGGTGGTTATGAAAGGCTGGATTCAATAGTGAAAGATTAATAATAACAACACCAACTATAATAATAATAATAAACAAAACACAATTAAATGCACATTTAAACTTGCTAGCAACAACTTGACTAGAAACATTTAAACATCTAAACGAAAATGAAGTTATCAGCGAGGCTTTTGTTGAGGGCCGTAGCCAGGAGTCGATCGACGCTTGGCCAGCAGATAGCAGACGACATAGAGAGGTACTCGCAGCTGCAACCGACTGCACTTACGTTGCAGAACTATATTGATTTTGGTTAGGGGCTCTTCTGTGTTAGTTGACTGAATGACCAACATACATACGTACATACATACATACATACATACACACATACATACATACACATTGAACAAGGGTAGCATGTATTAAACTCCATATACAAAAATTACATGTTTGTATAGAAACACATTATTCAAATATACATACTTACACACACATTATACATGTTTTTGCAAGTTCGCATATGTATATAATATACATATTATACAAAAGATGTTGAGGAAGACAATCTTTCATTTAATTTAAATAGGAAAGATAGTTGTAGGTATGAAGATTCTTCTAATTTATAGTTACACTCTGACCTACATACACATACATAGGTGCATACATACATACAAATACATACGTATATTCCCACATGCGTATACACATACACATACAGACAGGCATACAAATTCGTACATACATACACATATACCCACCACCCACATGCATACATACATACATTGTCTTGTTTCTAGAACTTTTAACATTGTTTGCTAATGATGGTAAACAGTTTTTTCATTGTGTATGCAAATCTAGGCATGTATGTATGTATGTATGTTTGTTTGTATGTATGTATGTATGTATGTATGTATGTATGTCTGTATGTATGTATGTATGTATGTTTGTACATGTATTCATAGGCAGACAAAGCACTAAAGAAACACAACACTGCTCATATATATCTATGTTTTTTTAAACATCACATTAATCTAAGTGAGATTGATCATGGGATTCAAGATGTTTGTTTACATTGCTATCTCAATTTTCATTGGCTGATATTTATAATAATATTATTATTATTATTATTATTATTGATTTTTAATTTTTTAATGAATAAAATTAAGTTTTAAATAAAATTAGTTCAATGTCCCTCCTTCTTTTACTCATCCATCCATCCATCCAAATGTTCTTTTTTCATACATACATTTATTCATTTATTAAATCCATCCAGCCATCATGTCACATGTAATATGCCCACACGTACACATATACATACATAAACACACACACACACATGCAGGCAAAAGCAAAAATGAATTGAATTCTTTGGACTATCTGATGAAAGAGCTCCCAGTAAGGTTCTCAAACATAATGAGGGAGTTTTACCTACTACCGCCACAATTACTTGAAACCAGTTCTGTTCGAACGCTCCAAGGATGGTATGTGCTTGTGTGTGAGTGAGTGTGTTTGTGTGTGTGTGTGTGTGTATGAAATGAGATGAATGACTGTATGTATGTATGTGTGTGCTTTTATGTTTGTTTATTTGTTGGTTAGTTTTGTACGTACGTACGTATGTGTGAGTGAGTGAGTGAGTGAGTGTGTGTGTGTGTGTGTGTGTTGTATGCTATGTTAATTTATGTTAATTTATTCACGTATGATAGGTACGAGCAGAGTTTTTTTGAGTTGATGCAGATGAAGAGATTGCCATTGAATGACGAAAAGTCTATTGATAAGTAAGTCGTCGTTATTGATGATGATGGTG